GAGTGTCCGTCCCTAGCATTAAGTATAAAGAGGTGGATATCTCTTTCCCCGTTCGCGATATAATGGGGGCTCGTCGAGTTTCTCTCCGCCACCGAGAGCGCACCCACCCACTTGGCAGGCAACCTCGTGATCTCTCTCCCCATCGGAGAAAGAGCGAGAGAGCGAGAAAGAGAGAGAGTGTACACCAGCGACCAACCCAGAATCCCCCGCGGTCGAAGGCACTGGCCCGAGAAATTCAATTACTGCTAAACTTCTCTCGACCGGAGACTCTCCCTCGACTCGTCTATATACTACTGTAAGCACTCTGTTTCGAAGATCGGCCAAAGAGAGAGAGACAGAGAGAGAAATAGAGAGAGAGAGACATCTCTCTCTCTCTCCCTCTCTCTCTTCCCTCGTCCTTCTCAGGTACGCGCGGTGCACTCGCCACCCGTAATTGAAACCAGGTGCGCCTGAGAGGTTTCCTCGTCGTGGCGGATAACGTCGTTCGCTTCGCAGTTCTTTCCTCTTTTTTTCCTTTCCCTTTTCCGCTATTTTCTACGGCGCGTCAACGAATGAAATTTTTGTAAGGGGGAAAGAGGGTGGTACCGGCCGGGGTGATTTCTTACGTTGGAGTGAGGACGGAATTTCGGAAGAGGACGAACATGTCCGGAAGAGATAATCGCGGGGGCAAAGAGGGAAAATTCGGCGAGCTGACGAATTCGTCAGCTCGGAGAGATAGACTGAATGACACTCTGAGATTCTTATTGAACGGCGCGGTATTGCCGGTGGATACGGTTAAATCGAGACTTTCGACCGGTGCGCGCGAGAACGGTAGTTCTTAATTACTTCGGAATTACTTCTGCAGAAGTTGAAGAACGTCTCCCACCTCTCTCGACGTTCTTCTCCACTTTTTCTCTTTTCTTTTGTTCTCTCTTTTTTTCGTCGGCGACAGAATCCACGTTCTATAAAGAAGCGCGGAAGCACTTTCCCCTCGCGGCAAGAAAATGTTCGCCCGTGATATTCTTTGTCGACACGGCTCGCCTTTTTTTCGCGCGCTTCGGATTCGCCCAACAGACGATCGCTATCAGACCTCTCCTGCTCCCCCTGCCTCCTTTCTTCGTTTCTCTCTTTTCCTTCCCTCTACGCGACGTAATCGGACGTGCATCGCAAATAGAGACGTCCAATTTGTAATGGAAATTACATGCACTGATAAACAGAGAAATAAAAACAGCTTCAGCCACGTTGCAAAGTAACGTTTAAGCCTGATTTATAATATGCTCTTTGCGTTCTGTTTCTTGTCTTCTGTCTTTTTCTGGCTAAAGCCTGATCTACAATATGCTCTTTGCTTCCTGTTTCTTTCTCTTTATCTCTTTCTGATTCAAATTTTAAGCTTTAAGCCAGAAAAAGATAGAAGACAAGAAACAGAACAGAATGCAAAGAGCATATTGTAGGTCAGGCTTTAAAGCCTGATCTACAATATGCTCTTTGCGTTCTGTTGTCTTCTGTCTTTTTTCGGCTTAAAGCTTAAGGTGTGAGTCAGAAAGAGATAAAGAAAAAGAAACAGGAAGCAAATAACACATTGTAGATCAAGCTTTACTGTTTCCAAAGCAAAGATCTAGCAATGCATGATGTTTTCTTCATAAAACAGAATACGCAGTATCAAGATTCTTGTGGTTAATTTGTCCATATCAAAATACAGTAAAGACCGAAGAGAATAGAATTATGTATCAAGTCAGATTTTTTCTTTCGATCAGATTAATTGCGCTTGATGTTTTATTTTTCGTTATTTCGAAATTTTTATTGAATACTGCAACGAGTGCTTCATGTACAAAAATTTTTTTTTCATTTAATCACGGTTTTTTTGTTTAATATTTCGCTTTCCATTTTTCGAAATTTTTATTGAATACTTCAACGAGTGCTTCGTGTACAGAAAAATATTTTTAATTTCTTCATTTGACCTCATCGCGGATTAGTTTCACTCGATTTTACTATTTTAACTTTTGTCGCTTGTCGAGATTCTTATTGAATACTCCAACAAGGAGTATTCAATAAGCCTCACGTAACGGGAAAGGATCTCTGTTCTCTTGATTTAATTATCACGTAACTACATTTCTATGTTTGACATTTCAATTTTCACTACTTCGAAATTTCCATCGTACACTCCAACAAGTACGGAAAAAGCGCACTTCGCCCCCGAATAACGGTTTTAAAACGCAACGCGTGAGCAATTATAAATGGATCGCCCTGCACGGGTTTTGTTGCAAGTGTACGAGCTGAGTGGACATGCGTGTAACGAGATGTCACGGTGCAGGTGAATTTTATTAACCGCAAACTATTCGCGATGGGACACGCGACGAAGCGCAGTCTCTTTCGGACGTCACCGCCAGAGGTAACAATAAAATGCAACGCGCGCGATAGAAAAATGCTACATAGTAGAGTGCCCGCACCCGACATCGATTGCAACTGCATTGTTATAAAGTGATACTCCATCGCCACCCCTGTAAAGTGATGTCCGCCGGGAAAAAGCCGATTCTTATGGCTCACATAATTGTCAGCGGACTTTTGCGACACGCGATCCCCATTACGTTCCACTTCATTTTTAACGTTACACAACCCGACGATTGAACCCTCCCTGACTTTAACTAAACTCGAATTTGAATCGAATAAGGATTTTTCTTTCGTTTAGTTTTTACCCTCGAATCTTATTTTGCAAAAACTGGAATTCCTCTTAAATCTTACCTATCCAATTTTCCCCTGCGATAAAATTAATCCTGGAAATTAACTATAGAAGTTAACTCTAGAAAGTCAGTCATCACCATTCTACATGACATGAAAGCTTCTTCTGTTGAAATGAATTTATCTATATGCAACGTCAACGTAAAACGATTATCGAAAGGCCCGATTAAACGCCCGGCACTCGACAAGGATATTTTATCTTCATTATTTCTTTGATCGAATATCGAGCGAGCCAGCGAATAAGTCGGTTAACACACTAAGGTGCGGCAAGGTACGTTTATCAGAGCAACGAGAACGCACTTGGGCTTATGCCAGGTCGCGTGTGCACTCCACTTACTATATATATAATATATAGGGTGAGAATGAACCGTGGCGGAAAAGAAGCCCGCGAGAAGAGAAGAGCGGAAGGGTCGAGGCGTAACGGAGAGAATTAAGGGCACCCGCCACTAACGAGAGTACGACTTCTGCTTCGAGTGGTATAATAAGGGCCCGCGAGCCTCGCCATTATTTACTTAACATTATGGCCGTAGCGGCCACTTGCCCTACTTAAAGACGTGTACGCACGTTCCTAATAGGCACTCTTCCGCAAGTCATGCGTGTGCAAAACGCACATGCGCGCCCGCTTCGGTCGCGTGCCGCCGTTTATTATGCCCCGTGTTGCGTTTCGTTATTGTCGCACTGAGAAAAAATGCTTGGTATTCATATAACTATAATCACGTGGAGAAATAATTACTATATATTACGTGAGGAAAACGTCAGGAAATTTTTTTTTCATTTAATTCTGCTATGTTTTGATAATAATCTTGTACAGAGTGTCCCGTATCACCTTCACAATCTCTCGTGAGGACGCAGAGCGGATTGAGATGAACATAAAAGTTCTATACTATTTTGCGATATTCGCAATAATAGTCGAGATATTAATTAAAAAAGATTGGTGAATGATAATGCGCGATATGGTAGATGAGCTGCAATTGCGCCGTCTACCGTTATATATAATACTTGTACATTAAGTCAAACTGAACAAAAAAGTCCTCTACCATTTTACAAATGACAACATAGATTTTTAGATATTAATCAAAGAAAATTGTTACATGATTATGTACCATAATGCACAAATTTTCTTTAATTAATATCTAAAAATCTATGTTGTCATTTGCAAAATAGTAGAGGACTTTTTTGTTCAGTTCGACTTAATGTACAAGTATACAATAATAAACAACGATAAACGGCGCCACTGTAGCTCATCTACCATATCGCGCATGATCATTCATCAATCTTTTTTAATTAATGTCTTGAGATTTATTGCGAATATTGCAAAATAGTATTGGACTTTTGTGTTCATCTCAATCCGCTCTACGTCCTCACGAGAGATTGTGAAAGGGATACTGCCTGTATATGCATGTTACTATTATTATTTTCGTATTGGTGTAAATATGGTTGGAGCCGAAACCAACTATAAAAAATTTTAGTTAAATCAAACATTTTTTCTATCAGTGCATCATAGCGAAGCTATTTTCGATATGAGCGCAACTTTCGCGTAGAGAGACGAAGATACGACGGCGACTCGGTGAATTTGATCGATACCAATCGTGGACAACTGGAAGAGGTCGACTTTCGGCGCGAATCATCGACGTCGCTATCTAATGAAAGAAAGAGAAAGGAAATTCTAATGGAAGAGTTAATTAAGTCAACTTGTATGGCAAAAAATATTTTGTATTTATGTTGAAGTCGATCCGTGTGGAAATTTTTGTGTTAAATTTTTCATATACACATGTGCTAATTTAATTTAACATATCGCTGTTATATTGTTTTGACTATTCTACGTTGAATTTATATCCATCACTTTTAAATATTAACATAACACAATTCATATGTTGTATGTGAATGTGTGCATAATACACACATACATTCTTGGTAACAAATGTACAACTAATTTGTGTCAATTGATACCATATTTATCTTATGTTAAATTAACACAAAAATTACAGTGGGTAAATTGATAATTTTAAGAAAAATCATAGAAGGCATGACACACGTGAAATGTGAGCTAAATTTAACACAACATTTGTTGTGTCAACAGTGTAGTTAACGATTGAAACTGAAACTTGTTAAATGAAACTGAAGATTGCGAACCGAGTTTTCCCCGTCTCTCCGTCGTGACTTCGTCTTTGTCGCCGTTATTTCACTTTGCGATGGCCAAGGACCGCCGGAAGGCAACGGTCTTGGTCGGAAGTGAAACCCCGGCAGAGGTGATCTCGCGATCTTGCAGCTTGATTGCAACTCACCGGTGATGCCTCCGCCGCCGCCGACGGCGGCCTCACTTTTCTCGACCTTGGGCTGCCGGTATTCGTCCTGGGTGGACCTCTTCCTCGGCAGGAGACCGCATTCCGGCTGGTGCTGGAGCTGCGTCTGGATGTGCGCGGAGGCAGCGGCGGCGGCAGCGGCGGCGGCGGCCGCGGCCGCCGCGGGTATCGCGAGGCCCGCCGGACTCCCTACGTGCGCCGGGTGCGGGGGCGGGCTACCAGCTGGCGTCGCGCCGGCGGCCGCCGGCAGAACGGGGGCGGTGGTGCAGCTGCCGGCATTGTATTGCAATTGCAGGCCCAACTCGCGCGCCTCGCTCTCCTCCTGGGCCTGCTGCCGTCTAAGCGCGACCTGAAGCAGTTTGTTCGTCGCTTGAGAACGGGGCGGCAGGGGAGACCAGGCGGAAAAGTCACGTAGAATTCGTTAATATGATAAATGTACATTTATCGAGGGGACTGTACTGTAGGCTCCAAGTATACATATTTGACACGCGTCGACTGAGGCACACTGCTTTCCATTATTTTCATGCTTAACTAAAGTTTGAACTGCACAGATACACGGAAGAAAATTTGAGTGGATTAACCAAATATCTGGAATATAAATGCGCCAGAATTCCGACTGAAGTTATCAGACTTCTGTTCAAGTTAACAAGATTCTAATTAGCTAAACAAGATTTCTCATTAACCAGAACTTGTATCTGTTCAAGCTGAACAATTTTTCTCAATCAGAAATCTTGGTAACAGATTTATGATCATTTCAAACGGAATTTTTGGTTCATTCATATTTCGCTAGACATTTGGTTAATCTAATCAAATTTTTTTCCTGTGTACGGTAAAGAAATGCAGCTCACGATATATATATATATATATATATATATATATATATATATATATATATTTGCAAACTCGTCTCATTGATTATACACATGGAGAGAATTTTATAGTAAAAAGTTGTATATAATTTTGTAAGGTCCGACATCCTACAATAATTTATTATATCCTTTTATTTTTTATTATTTTTTACTGACAATCTATTTCTGCTAAAATTGAAAAGAATTTGTACGAAAAAAAACTATAATATTCTCTTCGTATATTTAAATTATCATATGCAATCATTTACGTTTTATGCGTAATTAATGAGATACAACAAAATATCACAACGCCGACTATTGGTTAATCAATTTTTACTTTACGTCTTCACGTATCTGATATTTATCAATTTCTGAAATTTAAAGGGTTAATATATTTATATTTTGCGAGTAGCGAATTAGGTTTTGTCCCGCGTGTCGCGTAACGCAAGATTGTACGCGGATCACAACAATTATGTATATCGATCGTTTTGTTAGCAATTGAACAAAGCAGCCGAGGGTTCGCAGAAGGAGGATGTTGAGATTTCAAATGAAATTGAACCGGGCCGGGCATAAGCCGATCGTACTGAGGGTGTTTGAAGCGGAATTTTAGGTGTGTGTATGTGTGTGTGTATAGTATTACGATCCTGAAACGCTACATGAGCTGGTAATTCTACCCGTGATCTGTCGGACACACTAACGTGCCTATGTCAAATCGGCGGAAATGTGCCGGTGACAGCTTTTATTTACAGATATCGGGTACAGATTATCTTCGATAAAAGCGTATATTCAATAATATGTACATCAAATATGACATGGTAACGCAAGGGGGATTAAAGAGCAATTTGGGTTACAGTTATAAAGTCATATTGCAGAAAAAAATATTAATGACGCATAACTAGAGCGCTAATTAGCGACTGGAAGAATTCGTCTACATTATAAATTCATTTCAAAGAGAATATTTTATGACGCGATTGGTATTAATTATGATATTTCAATTGGACATATTTTACCTCACTTTTTAATTACTTATACGTCTCATATTCAAATATTTCTACTCTCTCTCTCTCTCTCTCTCTCTCTCTCTCTCTCTCTCTCTCTCTCTC